TGGTCCACATTATCGGAGTTCTATTTGTATATTTGAAAATAATTTTCGGCACAAAAAATAAATTAAAATAAAAAGTCTCCGATTGCAATTAGAGTCAAACGTAATTTTTTTTGTAAAAAGTAAGGGTCCAGACAACTTTTTTATATATCAGAAAAACAAAGTGCTAAAAATGTTCAAATCTCACATTTATAATCAGAGATTAACTAAATGTTCATTCAGAACCGTTCTTCAGGAGTGTCTTGTTAGTATGTGGAGGAGTAAATGAAGGGACGGACAATGACAAAAAAGTGTAACGTATGAATTTATTCCCTACGCTACGTTGGTACTGGAACAGTCTTGTCGTGATTCGGCTTAAATACTGATTTCCTACTGCCGCGATATGGACCCTTATTTGTTTAATTAGTTTTGCTCGTGAAATGTTTAGAAGAAGGACAGTATTTAGTGCAGGTGGTCTTCGTATATAGTCATCTTGCAGGAAGAATGACTGTCAGGTTTTGTAACTGCTGGAGTTCCTGTGTGGATATCATGCAGACTATCCGTGAGGTTGGTTGACTGAAACCAAAACATGAACCCATATATTTTTGCATTCATTATTACCAAATATTGAAATAAATAAAAATTTATCACAAGCAATTTACAACCAGCGTTTTAATAACTGGTCCACATTACCCACTAAGTTATTTATTTCGCAGTTTTGAGCTTTTTAAAATATAATGCAATAATATTTTATTGGCAAGTATATATGTATAATGTTTACCTATATTTAGACAACATATCAACTATGTTGTGAAAACAATTTGTTTATAGTTTTTAATGTTGGAACCCCGACAATATCACAAAAACAAAATGGTAATCCACATTACTCAAGGAGTCTCCACTATCCTCTTAACAGAGGTTGTGCCCTATTCTGTTGGAGGAATGTTCGTATAGGTAAATTTATAGGATTGATGACTAGAAGTGGTCTCGCATTTTTGGATAGTTGTCAGTTTGTTGAGAATATCATCATTGAGAACTGGAGGATGCGTATCAACTACGAGCTCGTAAGCTCATGTCACCCGCAGCCCTCCAAAGAATGAATGAGCTAGGCTTGCTCGAAGGGAAGTTAGGGATTTGTGCGTTGTGGTCGTTAATCCACCTGTGGCTTAGTCAGTGTGACATGGACCAAAAAGTAGGCGCTCTACCACAAAGTTTACATATTTACAAGATGTACCTATAGCTTTAGCTGTCAAATATAATTTTGTTCGATTTGATGTAAACTGCATGCAAATCGTAATGTCTAATTGACGTGGTATTTTGTGTGTAGCAAATAGAATGGGGAGTTTTGAGTTTTGTTAAGATCGGTTAAGATTTTATATATAGTTTTCATCCCATTTTTTGAAAAGGTATCTTGATTGATATACAATGTCGCAAAGATTTCCGACTTACTTAAAATGATTTTTGAACAAAAAATCAGTTCAAATTTCAATATAGTTTCCATACGCAATTTCATCCGATTTTTGGAAAAAATGTCCAGCTTTGGTACTTTCACATAATAGTAAGATGACTTAACTTTTGTAATAAATATTCTATGTTGTTGCTCACTTAGTATTTCAGACACCAAACCAAAACCACCAAAGGCATTACAAATGCTTTCATCATCGTAAAACTTTCATTAAAATTTTGCACCACAATCTTAAGAATTTTATGCAGTGAATTCTTATAGATAGCTTAGTGGAAGCAAACACAACAATTGCAGTCTGTATGTTAATCATCCTCACACACTCCTCACTGAACATTTACTAATGTGAATGAAATCTGCCCAAATACAGTTGCTGTTGCACATTTGCAAATAAAGACACCGCCACCGACTCCGACTATGATAGACAGGCATTTCTGCAAATATGAAAAGTGCTACAAATGTAAACACACACACACAAGATAGCTGAGGGCAATGGTACTTATCCTACGGTTAATATACTCCAAGCCTATGAATAAATATTACAGCGACTGCGGGTGAACAAAATTCTTATTATAACAGCTTAAGTATTTTTTGTAAGATTTTGTCATTACAAAGCGCCTAGACAAACGAAAATATTTGTAGAAAATCTTAACGGAAAAATAATCTGTAGTATTTCAGCGAAGCAGCATATTTATGTATATATTTTGTTTAAACTATAAAAATATGTGTGACAGAATGTTAGCTGTAAAATTGGTTTGCAATATTAAGGACAGAAAAACGAAACATCAGAGCAAGGTGAACTGGGGCTTTAGATTGAATATATATTTTAAAGGTTTAAAAGGTCTAAGCAAAATAATCGGAAGAAGAATACACTCAGCTAGCAAATATTACAAATTCAATATGCTATGAACAAATCGTGTGATATGGCAGGTACATTAGGTTTCGTTTCAACCCGTCAAATATCACCTGACCACTTGAATATAATAATTTACCCTAATTCCTAGCAGCCTTATTTCTAAATTAAGGATGTGTTAATATTTTTTTCGCGAAGATTGTTCCATATATCCGCTTTAATTAAAATCTATATTTTTACGAGATATTCCAAACTTATAGCAGCATCTGCCTGACAATTCAAAATTTCCTGTTGAGCTAAGCTGACCTAATAAAGATTTATAAACGGTACCTCTTATCTGGTGGAATATTTTCAACATTTATTCAAGTTGAAATTTTTTAATAACCATTTTGGTTAAAGTATTGAAGTGATTTAAAATGATTAATAGTTTATGAATCTGACACAAACACATACATATTGCCAACATTTTCATGTCATATCTTTTGTTCCGAAGAGGGCAGCAGGTATTAAATAAATCAGCATTAGACAAATGGTGTCTTTGTCCTTGGGCATATAATCTTGAATAATAAACTACTTTTACCGAGAAAGAAAAAATGCCAATTTAGACGATGTTTCTAACAGTGGGTTAGCAAGAACAAGGCAATCAATTGATTTATTTGTTGATTAAAATCTAAATACTTACATACTTTGCAGGTTTGTGAAAGGCCGTTTGTTTCATAAGCCGAGCTTATCCAAGATTTACCAACACTATCCTTCTCCGACATTTGTTTTATTTATGGTGGTACCGAGGTATATAAAATAGTTTTCAAGCTCCAGCAGGATGTTAAAAAGGTAACACAATAAACTGTCACCTTGTCTGAATCCTCGTTCGATATTGAAGGGCTCCGAGAGGTCCTTTTCGACTTTAAATGCTGACCTTGTGTCAGTTAAAGTTATCCTCCATAGCCATTTATTTTCGCAGGAATGCCGTACGCAGATATGGCTTTAAACACCTCTGAGCGGATTGGGCTGTCAAAAGCGTCTTTATAGTCGACGAATCGGTGGAAAGTGTTGATGTGTTCTTTGTGGGTTTTTCCAGGATTTGGAGCAGCGTGAAAACTGGTCAATGGTGGATTTACCAGGTTTGAAATCGCATTGGGATTGTCCAAAAAAGTCATTGGCCAGTGGGTTCAGTCGTTCACACAGCACGCTCGATAACACTTTATATACGATGGGAAGGAGGCTAATTCCTCTATAGTTGGTAGATATTGTCTTGTCTCCTTTTTTATGCACGGGACACAGGATGCTGAGGTTCCACTCATTGGGCATGCAATCCTCTAGCCAAATTGTACTCATCATTTGGTGCATCCTCCTGATCAGCGTTTGACCACTGGTCTTGGTAATCGATTAAAATATAATTATAATTTCCCAAGGCTATCACAGATATAAGCGGGGATTAAAAAAATCTGAATCGTGGATTTAAAAATCTGAAGCGTTTGAATATTTTCGGAAGAAGTTCTTTTGTGAAGGACTCTCACAGCTATGAGTGTCGATTCTCTCAATAAAATTGGTTTGAGGACTATTAGCGTTTAAGCGTAACTGTCGCTAATGTGGATTTTTAAAGTCCGTCATGGTACTAAAAGTAAATTAATAAATGGTGAAAATAATATTTTGCAAAAGGACTGTCAAAATAAAAAAACATGGATTAAAAAATGTTTAAGAACTATTACACTCCGTAGGATGTATTTTTAATCGGATATTTTCGGATCACAATCCTAAGCGAGGATAAAAAAAATATTTTCGGATGACTAAATGATGAATAAAAAAATATTTTATTTTATTCAGAGCCCTGAGCGTGGATTTAGAAAAATTTAGAAAAAAATTTAAAAAAAAATCGAAGTAAGCGTCGATTTTTAACCCTACGGTCAATAACCGTGTGCATTTGTACTTTTTTTTTTTTGAATAAAAGTGCTGTTAAATTTTCAATAATGAGTTCCTACATCTGGATCAGACCCGTATAGACTAATTTAAAGCAAAAAAACCGCACGATAGTCCAATTTTTTTAATGAATGACAGCGCTATCTTTGGATGGATACAAATGTACCACGGTTATTGATCTAAGTATACTTTTTTGGCTATTTTCGATCATTCCCATGGATTTTCACAATCCTAAGCGTGGATTTTAAAAATAATATTTTATAAAGGATTCTCACAATCCTAAACGTGGATTTTAAAAATAATATTTTATAAAGGATTCTCACAATAATAAGCGTGGATTTTAAAAATAATATTTTCTAAAGAATTCTCACAATCCTATTCGTGGATTTTTAAAATAATATTTTATAAAGGATTCTCACAATCCTAAGCGTGGATTTTTAAAATAATATTTTCTAAAGGATTCTAACAATCCTAAGCGTGGATTTTTAAAATAATAATTTATAAAGGATTCTCAAACTCCTAAGCGTGGATTTTTAAAATAATATTTTATAAAAGATTTTTAAAATCCTAAGCGTGGATTTTAAAAATAATATTTTATAAAGGATTCTCAAAATTCTAAGCGAGGATTTTTAAAATAATATTTTTAAAGAACTATGACAGTCATGGGATTGGATTTTTAAACTGATATATTCTGAAAGACTATCAGTGCTATGGCAGTGGATTTTTAAAATAATATTTTCTAAAGAGCTTGGGAGTGGATTTTTAATTTGTATTTTTTTTTTATTATTCCAGCGTATTATGGATTCCGCAGAGCAGGCAGCACTTTCCGAACTCGATGCTCAGGGTTCACATTCTGGTTCATCGAATAATCAACACTACGATGCCCGACGCATTAACGAATACAATGCCGATGGTAAATTAGCCGATGGTGCTCGTCATATGGATATTCGTTTTATGCGGCGTTTTGAACGACTACCCGTCAATCTCAGTCTAAGTTCGATTCTGGTGCCGAATGGCGTCTCTCTCGATGATGGAGATGTTAAGGCAGCGCTTCAGTGGAGTGCTCATTTGGATCCACTATTCCAGAACAACTTGGAGCGAGATCCGGCATTGTCGTGGCAATATTTTGGCTCAACAACTGGATTTTTGCGTCGATTCCCTGGCACGGCATGGCCACCCGAGGGTTCGAAGGGCAGTAAACAGATACATGATTTTCGTACACATAATTGGTTTGTGCAGGCGGCCTCATCGCCCAAGGATATAGTAAGTTGTAACCATCATAGTCAACCCAATTAAATTTAAAATACATATTTACTCCTAGATGATTCTGCTGGATTCTTCATCTAAAATGTCGGAGAAATCATTCGATTTGGCCATGGAAACATCATTTAATATTCTCGACACCTTGGGTGAAAATGACTATGTGAGTTTGGTTACCCTAACCGATACACCGAAATCGCCAGTGCCCTGTTTCAAAGACCGTATGGTTAGGGCCACGCCTGATAATATTTTGGAAATCAAATCGGCCGTAAAAGCAGTCAAACTCTCAAGTACAGTTAATTTTACAGCTGGTCTGGAATATGCCTTCAGTCTGTTGCATAAGGTATGTAAATTCTACACCTAACAACTCTCTAATAATATTTTTAAAATCCAACTGATTGCTCCTCTTTTCCGACCTGATCGATTGATATTCAGGGATGTTTAACAATTTCCTTTCAATCAAATTCAAGAGTCATGTTTGGTATGTGTTTGCTATCTTCCCGCCTGGAACAGAGGAAATGTAGCAAAGATTCCTTGATACTCTCTCCCCATTCGATTGAAACGAAATTGCCTTTTAAAATCCAATAGAAACGAAAATCATTTGCCTTCATCTCTGTCTTTCAGTACAATCAATCTGGAGAAGGTAGTCAGTGCAATCAAGCCATTATGTTAATCACGGAAAGTTCCTCGGAATCTCACAAGGAGATTATCAAACAATACAATTGGCCTCATATGCCGGTACGCATTTTCACCTATTTGATTGGTTCGGATTCGGGCAGTCGCAGCAATCTACACGAAATGGCATGCTCGAATAAAGGATTTTTCGTACAAATCAACGACATGGACGACGCGCGTCGCAAAGTCATCGATTATGCCCTGGTTATGGCCCGACCCATGATCATGTATCAGGCCGATCATCCGGTCCACTGGAGTCCCGTTTTTGTTGCCGGTAAATCTGGTGGTTTGGCACGCGATTCCGAATACCAGCGACGTTTGGTAACGACAGTTTCAACTCCGGTCTTCGATAGACGCAACCATTCGGTACGTGTGGCAAATCTGTTGGGCGTCGTCGGTACTGATGTTCCCATCGAGGAGATTCGTAAAATGATACCACAACATAAATTGGGACCGAATGGGTATTCGTTTATCGTTGATAACAATGGTCGTGTACTGTATCATCCTGATTTACGTCCGATGAGCGATGGCAATCAGTATATTGATCAATTGAGGCCACGGTATACGTCAGTCGATATCACGGAGTTGGAATTGCCGGAAACCGAAATTGGCAATGATCACGAGACGGTGGAGATGAATAAAAATCTGTTATATGATGTAAGTTAAAAAGGAAATTAATTATTCAGGAAAATATAATGTATATTATTTTTTATTTATTGCAGATGCGTAGTGATATGATTATGCCCAAGGAGGGCGAAACAGAATTTACAATTTTGAGTCACTACGACGATATGAAACGTGTCTATGCCAGAAGGCAAAAGTAAGTTGATAAATTTGTTTTGATAACACTAAATTCTGTTTATAAACCCTTGGGTTCTGTTTCTCCGCTTGATTTTTTATTCACAACTAAGTGCAAGTGTCTCCTTTTGATTTTCTCATTTAAAGAAAAACCGTAAGTGGGAAAAACATATTTTCTGCTACCTTTGCGTCGAAATCGCTTTTGGGGTATGTAACGGTAGCTACCACCTTCCATTCAAATTTAAATTTTGTTCCGTTACCTGCCGGGTATGAGATAAGTCTTTTCTGAAGTTAGTTTAAAAAAAATTCTAATGAACACGTGTAGCGAATATAGCCACCATAAACAATCACATTCATTAGTACATTTTACGTGTACAGTATAGGAGTATCTACCATAACATAACAAAACAATTTTTTAAACTTCCACGCCTTTGGAAGTCTTCAAAAAAATATTTTTTAAACATCCACGCCTTTGGTAGTCTTCAAAAAATATTTTTTACACATCAACGCCTTTGGTAGTCTTCACAAAAATATTTTTTAAACATCCACGCCTTTGGTAGTCTTCAAAAAATATTTTTTAAACATCCAAGCCTTTGGTAGTGTCCAAAAATATTTTTTTAAAACATCCACGCTTTTGGTAGTCATAAAATATTTTTTAACACATCCACGCCTTTGGTAGTCTTCAAAAAATATCCTTTGAAAAGTCAGGACTTAAATATCCGTGCATTGATTTAACCTTGAAAAATATTCTTAAGGAAATTCTCGCCTTGTTGGAGCTTTAAAATAATATTGTTTATGTGTGTGGTCTGCGAACATGCTTGCTTTGAAAACTATTCTTTAAAAAAACGTAGCCTTGTTAGATCCTTGGAAAATATTTTTCAAAAACCCCCGTCTTGTTGGAACCTTGAAAAAGTATTCTTTAAAAAATCCTTGTCTTGTTGGATTCTTGAAAAAAATTCTTTAAAAAATCCACGTCTTGTTGGACCATTGAAAAAAATCTTCGGCTTGTGTAGCCTTTTAGAAGATGATCTTAAAAAAATCCATAAAATATTCTTTAAAAAATCGTCGCCTTGTTAGACCCTTGAAAAAATATTCTTTAAAAGTCCTCGCCTTGTTGGACCCTTGAAAAATATTCATTAAAACATCTTCAACATGTTGGAACCTTGAAAAAATATTCTTTAAAAAGTCCACGCCTTGTTGGACCCTTAAAAAATATTCTTCAAAAAATCTTCGCCTTGTGTAGCCTTTGGAAAATGTTATTTAAAAAATCAACGCCTTGTTAGAGCCTTGAAAAAGTATTCTTTTAACAGATCACGTCTTGTTGAACCTTGAAAAAATATTCTTAAAAAGAATACGACACATGTAGACTCTGAAAAAAATATTCTTTGAAAAAGCTACACCATGAGTTCAAACACGAATGTTCTTAAAAAAATTTGTTTAAAATGTATTGAAAGTGTTTTCTTCATATTTGAACATTCTATAACTATGGAATCGATATGAACTTATTTTCCGAAAACCCCTGACTCCACAGACCTCACATATTCCCACATTTCTATTAATTTTTGTAGTTCATCAAAAAATCGTATCTTTTGGAAGTTCATATTTCTAATTCAAATAAACAATCTTCTGTTTTCAGATATTTCTATGGTCCCATTGAGGATACACCATTTACGCTCGCTGTTGTTTTACCCGAAAAGTATGGAACCCATGAGTTGCTCTCCGAACAAGAAATACGTCATTCACGAAAAAATGGTAAGCCTCAAAGTTGTTGCTTGTCTTTCAGAAACAGTGTAGTTAATCTATCTTTATTTCTAGTTACGGATTATTTTAAAGGTGACAATTGGCGTGTCCATCCCGATTGGGTATATTGTGAATACAACAGCGTTAGCGATTTGGAAAAGGAACGTGAAAGTTCGGGTGAATATAGCAATTCTAGGGATCAAGAACCTAGTTTTGCTTCGCCCGAAGAACAGGTGTTGCATTTCTTGGCTAGAGCTGGAAGACCTGGTTGGAAATGGATGTCGGTAAGCAAAATATAACATTTTGCTCAAAATACATTAACAGAATTATTCTAATATTTTTCCATTCTGTTTTGTTTTTGTCTATTAAGGTAAGGCCCAAATCGCCACAACCACATCACAATTTACACGGTGCGACACCTGTGGGCCATTTTGCCCAACACTGGACTGTTCAAGGTTCTCGCAAAGCTGAACCCTATTATTGCGATCGAACCTTGTTACAGAGCTTAGTACGAGATGCTATGGTCACAGACGGTTTGGATCGTAATACAACTACCAATGGCAAAGAAGATAAAAAGTAAGTTTGTTTTGGAAATTACAAAAAAACGAAAAGCAAAGGTTTGCTACTAGACTTTGCTTTCCATAAATACAAATAATTTGGAACTTTTTTAGGAATTTCTACAGCACATACTAAAACACAATTATTTCCTATTTTCCTTCCTGCTGCACATCTTTTTTCTTTAATTTAAATTTATTTCTGCGTTAATTTAATTATTTTATCTTTTTTGAAATCACACACAAAATGCACCCAAATAATTTATAACTTGCAAATCATTTTCTAATTTTTAAATTATTAAAACAACTATAAACAAATCTATCACAAAAATTAATTATTTCTATAGTCCAATTGCCACATTGATGGCAATTTTAAAAAGGTAAATTTACAGAAATAAAATCTTTTAGTTATTCCAACCAAGTTCATTGGATATAGCTAGACCTACCAAGTTGAATTTGGATAAGCAGCTTGAAGTAATGGATTTGTTCCGTTTGCTATGTTTTATGGATTCACTGAATTTTAGCACCATTATTTTTATATATATTTTATTTTTTAATTATAGTTTTTTTTTATAAATTTGCACTACATTGTAATATTGAGGTTTTCAAAAATAGCCTTTTTGTAGAATTGTCTATGATTATATCCTATATTTGCTGTGTAGTCGAAATCGGGTTTAACAATGGCCAAGGGATTCGAGAATTTGTCGCTATAAGCAATAACAAATAAAGGGCACTATATCGCGAGTTCATATTACCGGCGACCACAAAAAGTAGGAGTTATCGTAGATGGATTAAATGTTGTACAAATGTTCATTATTGCCCTAAAAATCAAGTGGCAAGAATTTTGATAGATCGAACCAAACTCTCGAATTTCACTCTTTTGGCCTACAAAATCGTAAATATTCAACGTAATTATCTTAAATTTGGCAGTTTTCCAATTATACCTATAAATCATAAATCAAGTGACGAAAAACTGGATAGATCGTATTTGGTTTAATTTTTTTTTTAATGAGTTAAAAAAATTCATTTAAGGGGACCCCCCATTCTTGGTGTCAACATTTTTTTGATTTAATTCGAATTTACTCTAATTATATAATGTTCCTACAAAATTTCAAGTGAAAATCTCAAGAACTCTTGAAGATATAACCGATTTATTGTGTAAGCATCAAGTGACGGCAAGAGTGATTTTCAAACTTTAAACGCATTTTTCTCGAAGCAATTTTTTAGATCTTCCTTATTTTTTAACTTAGTTTGTGTTCAAAAATGTCCGATTTTCCAAAAAAAAGTTCCGCCATTTTGTTAATTGTTGTGCGAAGTCAATAATCCTAGTTCATACGAGAGCCAAACATGTACTCTTTCTAACACCGTTGGAATTTTCGGATTCCGATGTACCAGTGAGGAGTTATCATACCCGCCTTCAGAAATAAGGACTTTTCTTTTATCACAAAAAACAAGAACAACAATTTTTTGTAAATTATGTTTCTTCCTTTTTAAATCTTCAAATATATATGTGCAAAGTTTCAAACCTTAACAATGATTGGTATTCATTTACCAGTCCATTTAAAATCTTAAAAATAAAAAATGGTGAATGGGGGTGGGTTCCCTTAATAAGAATAATATTTAAACTTACCAAATCTGCCTCAAATGTTTCCACATAGAAGCAATATTTTAAAATCGATTCAAAGTAGTAGAAATTTTTATGAATACAATAATATGCTTACATTCTTCTGTATCGGTAATTCTCCTTCATATCTGGCCTTCAATAAAGTCTTTACATTTAGACATAACATATTCGATCCCGCCTTATGGCAAAAAAGTGCCTCATCGAAATTTTGGTTCAGACATTTTGGAGTCAATATACAAATGTCCGTCTGTCTGTCTGGTGCGCACGATAACTCTCGAAGGGAGTATTCGATATAATCCAAACTTTGCATATCGTAATATTTCTTCGAAACATAAATCATGTTCGGAGATGGAAAATATCGCTTCACTCCCTTTGGTATCTTCTCCACAAAATAGTCAAAAATTTCCCAAAAAATAATTTTATAATGTCATGCTAACGGAATATCAAATTTAAACGATAATTTTCACAACATAATATTTTACCATGTTGGAAGATGGGACTTACCTCCACACAAAGGGTTAATATTTTGAAAACTTGTAAATATCATTCGTAATATGCGGTTTTATCCAAATTTTACACATTGTAATATTTTTATCAATCCTAGATCACGTCCGATAATGGAATCCAACGGTCCACTCCTTGTAGTACCATCCTCCCAAATTGCCAAAATTTGCTATATTTATAAATCCAATATTACGAGAATGGAGTGTCGGATTTGACCCAAACTCTGCACACCGTCGTATTTTAATCGATTTCAAATCAATTCCGAAGATGAGATCCACTAAATCTGGTACCATCGCCATAAAAAAGTCCAACTTTCGAAAATTTCTTAATCCAATAGCAAGCGAGTGAAATGTCCGTTTTGATCCGAACTTTGGAAATTGTAATACATTAGCAAACCTAACAAAAGTCCGAAAGTGGGACCCATTTTTCCACCCTTTCTGGTACCGCCCCACACATGGCCATGCCTTTCATAAAAGTATATACCCTACATAAAGCGAATATTAGAGAAACTTCGGATAATGTGGACTACCATTTCTTTTTTTATGTGGGCTCGCTTTTTTATAGTGGTCCACAATACCCGATTTAAATTTTTTTTATTTAAACATACATATTTTTTGGCTCAAAAATAAATAAAAATTAGAAGTCACCGATTGTAATTACAACTAAGAGTATATTTTTGTTAGAAAACAAAAAACCATATAGCTTCTTTATATTTGAGAAAAACTAATGATCTGTTCATTAGATTTTTAAATGTAAAGCTAGTAAAAGGGAAACCTTTATAAATCGCCTCAGGGTACAAAATAATTTGAAAAGTTCGGGAACGCAAATCTAGTAAATATGGCAAAATTAGATGGCAGTACTTAAAATTCAACATAACAGCCAATCAGAAGTTGGCATTCCGCTTTATACACATACTATTATTTTTATTAAAAATATACTTTTTACATTTCGTTAGATACAAACAGCTATGTCATATATGTGACTCTGAAGTGTTGGCTGTAATTTTGGTATTCCCCTACCTAAAATCATAATTATTGAATTATTGAAATCTTACAAAGAAAAACTGTAAAGCGCTTTAAAATGTCTTAAAAAATATATACAAAAAAAAAAAACACCAAAATTAGTATGAAATACAAATATTTAGTAATCTATATTTGTACAAGCTGGACCAGTTGCACTTCGCAGCTCCAACTAAAGTTAACAACGAATAAGTTTAGAAAACATAGCAATGTTCAATTATAAAACTATATGCGTTTGCAATATAGACTATACTTTTTTATACCCTTCACCACACTGTGGTACAGGGTATCATGTCTTTGTGTATATGTTTGTAACAGGCAAAAGGAAACGAGATAGACACATGGTTTCTTTTGAGAATATGCATAGAATCACTTTCTGAGTTGATTTACGTATGTCCGTCTGTCCGTCAATGTATTTTTGTGAACAAAGTACAGGTCGCTTTGAATGAAATTTGGCATAGGTCACTTAATTGGCCCAAGGACGAACCCTATTGAAATTGGGGAAAAATCGGTTTTTAGATATAGCTCCCATATATATTTTCGTCCGATTTAATGTAAATGGTGCACCAAAGTCCCTATATATCTTTCGCTTTGCACGAAATTTGGCTCAGCGTATGTTTATGAATCCAATTTCATTTTACTGGTCCTTTAAAAATGCGACGTCTGTTAGGAGTCATGTGTTGAATATACCCAAAGTGGTTAAGGGTATCATATAGTCGTCCGTCCGACGTTACTACTTTCCTTACTAGTCTTTAATTTGGAATTAATCTCAAAGCAAAAATTGTAGATCTTAATAAATATTTCGAGTAGTTTATGAGTAGGTTCAAGATAATTGTGCTGCACGCGACGTTTTTATCGGTTTTAATCCATGTATTGAACTAAGTTAATTGGTATAATTCATTTCAAGTGGTTATTGGTGTGGTGATTTCCGTATTTTGGAATTTTGAACCGCAATTTGCATAAATATCATTTATAGTCTACTAAAGAGCACTGGCAACATTATAATTAACATACGCATCCTAAGATTATCAGAAAGTTATTTCAACAAAACAATGTAAATAAATAAAACCACGTTATATACTTTTCAAGAAACATTGAACTTTTGGCATAAGTGACAATAACCGTCCTCTTTATAAAATTCTAAGAACTTCCTTCGGTAGATAGCGTGATGTTCTTAGAATTTGTGTGTGCTTAAATTGTGCATAGAGTCTTTGTATCAGTATTTTGATGAGTTTGGGCATGTTTTTAATCCGAATTGATTTTAATTTGGTTTTTTAGATTCTCATTGGGAAACAGATCTCCTTACCAAAAATTAACAATATTGGCATCCCTCTCCAAATGGAGGGTTGGGACAAATTTTGGGTTTTGTATTGTGCCGATATTTTAAGAAAATTGACCATTAAAAGTTGCTAATATATTTCCAGTGGGGTTGGAACCTTCAAATTATTTCTGCTGTCCAGTGCAATGCAAGATATCCTTGGAAAACGTTTTTGCCATAGATCCACTTACTTGTTATATACCTTATATAATGATCCCATCCATTTTCATTACATCGGAAGGTTTTGCTTTGGGTCCCAAAACCATTCGCAGTGGTATATTAAAATTTGGATTCAAAACTTGTTTTCCAAGTAAATGCTAGTATACCCAGGGTGGACTCCTGTCTCTCAAAACTACACTTCACTTTAAAATCCACCCAAGAATCCACTCATTATGAATCCTTGTATGGCTACTTCCATAATTAATATGTATGCAATTCATATTTGCATACAAGGCATTGTAGATCTTCATCAATATAAGTGATGTCAAAGTATTGAAAACATTACAGAAGGCACTTGATATTCCACTTATGTTATATGCCCGAAACTAATTCATATTTACTTCATCCATTACAGACAAGGCTATCAAAAGTTTGTGGTTACCACTTCATTTGTTGCAACACGTTCCGGCCTTTTGAGGTGGATCGATCACATTAAACCAGCAGATGATTCACCTGATCCGTAAGTAGATATTTTATTTTTTATTGAAAATGGTTACTTCATTAATTCCCTTACCTGCTTAACAGACACTTCAGCGAAGAAAATGCCCGAGCCATGGATATGTCTTGGTATAAACGAGCAGTAGATCAACATAGCGTCGAACAGGATAGTTTTGTATACAGTGTACCATTCGGTTCGGGATATAATGGTAAAACGAATGGTACATTAGTGACAGCTTCACATTCCATATTTGTGGAACATCGTGGCCATAAGGCACCAGCAGCTGTAGTGGGTTTACAATTTCAACACGATTCATTGGCCAAACATTTTATAAATATCACCTCAGCTGTATGTTTTAAATGGAATTTGAAAATTTGCATAAGTTTCTGTATTATTACTTTTCATTTCTCTCTTCAGTGTACTGGAATGACAGGCTGTAAACGTACCTGTGCATCGGATAATTTAGACTGTTATGTATTGGATAATAATGGGTTTGTTATTATATCCGAAGAATCAGAACATACGGGTAAATTCTTCGGACAAATCGATGGTACTATAATGGATTCCCTGGTGCAAGACCGCATATATAAACGCGTAACAGTAAATGACTATCAAGGTGTCTGTTCGAATTCCGATAATCCATATACAGCTTGTGGAATTCGTGCCAAACCCCACTATGTTGCTTCGTGGTTCTTTAAGTATCTACTATCGCTGAGTGCCACTTGGTTGTCACTGTTGCCCACACCGCTTAAGGCATGGCCCCATGATGATTATGTTTACAATGAAGAGAATTTTGAAGAGCCAACCTATACCGATGATTATGAAACATTCGAAGAGGATTATATATCACCCGTTGACGAAGAAATGGATGAACTTTTTACCACCGCTGATGTAGTAGGATCATAATTTTGTATTTTGTTGCTATATCCCTATAACACTAATAATTGTTTCTTGTTTTATTGCAGGAATATACCACACCAACACCAAAACAACATAAACCTCACGTTGGACCACGTTCAAATCCAGATCCTTCCAATGCTCGCCGTTGCGACTTACGTACAGACTTATATATGCTCCAGCCCGAAAGATTAAATCAAGGGGGCCAAAATAATCCCTTAAAGGTTTGTTTGCTTGCGGATAATTTATTGGTTGAACTTTCAAATTCATTTATTTATTTTAGGGTAAACTGACAAATTGCCACGTATCGGGCTGCGAACGTCCATTTAGTGTTCAGAAAATTCCACACAGTAATCTTATTTTATTAGTTGTTGATACATTGTGTCCATGTGGCTCCAAGCAACTGGACATAGAGCCGATGGAAGAGTCCGGCATTGTTGGTAAGTTTACGTTAATTGTGACATAACAATAATATTAATAGACGATTCAGTGATGCGATGGTAAATGTGTTGTGGTTGTGAATTTAAAAATATAAATTTAATTTGATAAAAAACTGGGGTACAATATTGATGATAGTGGCATACAATTTGCGACGAAAGCATTGCCTCCAAAAAGAGTTTCAACAATTAAGATAATTTCGTCCAAAAATGTTAATGCTCTTAAAGTATCGATTACTAACTACGAATTTTGGCAGTAAATGATTCCTATTGGATACCACTATATTTTGTTTTATTTTCGGTACAATTTGGGAGGTACAGTTATATGGGACTATCCTAAAAAGGAGTTCCTGGTTCGTAATGTTCCATAGCTCTACGTTTCTTATGAACCTAACGAACCAGGAACACATACAAAAGCAGATTAAACGTAGGAAATGTAAATCGATTGGCCACACCTTAAGAAAAAATGTCCACAGCATAACCAGAATAGGATCCCCAAGTATCAAGAAAGCGAGCATCGACTAATCAAGTAATATGGCGGGACTTTGTGGAAGCCCTATGCTCCCAAGATGAGTAACAGGAAAACAAATTCTAAAAAGGTGACCAATTTTGAGAATTTTTGGTGGAGTGTATATTAAATTTGTCATTCCGTTTGTAACACCTCGAAATATTCATCAGAGAACACAATCGCAATAAAATTCATTGTCAATTTACGCATGCCTTTCTGTCTGTTTGTTTAAACCGCGATAGAGACCGAAATGTTTAAGATAGAGCTCTGAAAGTTTTCACAGGCATTGCTAATACTCCTAGGATGTTCGGTATGGTAAATGGGCTATAACGGTCAGTATTATACATTTTTGGGATTTTGGACATATTTTCAACCGTATTGGGTGTAATTTGGCATTTTGCAATATCATTGTATAACACATATCCGTACCAAAAATTATTAATATTGACCCAAGTTTCTGGGTTGCCCCAGAATTTTTGGGAATTTTGTACACGTTTTTCAACCAAATTGGCTTTTACTTAAGAATTAAGTTCTCAATGTAAAAAACATGGACGTCTCAAAATTGATTAATATTGACACAAGTTTCAGGGGCGGTACCGTACCCTGAAACCAATATTCATTGCGTGTCCAATTTAACTGCAAAAAATATTTATTAATATTGACCCATTTTTCAGGGTACCCCCAAGTATTCGGTATTTTTATGCTTTTCGTGTTCGTTTCACAACCGAATTGGGTGTTACTCTGTATTTTGGCTTCACATTATACCAAAAGTTTTTAATATTAAACCAAGTTTCAGGGTCTTCGTCATATAACGGTGCTCCAATATTCGGAATTTCGGAAACGTTTTTAATTCAAATTAGCTGTAATTTGGTAGTTTGGGTTATCATTGCATAGCTCATCCTCGTACTAAAAATTATTAATATTGACCCAAGTTTAAGGGTAGCCCCAATATAACGGAACCCCCACATCTCCGTACTAAAAATATTAATACTGTCCAAAGTCGGTATTTTGGGAATTTTAGACACGTATTTCAATTTTTCTGTAATTGAGTATTTTGTTTTCTCATTGGCTTTGAAATCTCACTATCAAAACTAATCAATATCGATATCCGTTTTTTATAGCCCCATATAACGGAAACCCCACTATTTGGTAATTTCAGAATTTTAATCAATTTGTTCTCACGTCTTTTTCATAAAATGAGTCCTATCAAAAAATGAGTTTTCTCCTAGGAATCCCCCATTAATATTAGATATTTTGAATTTCGACCTCATGGAGCTTATAAAAACTTAAAATCGATTTAACATGTTTTCTAACTTGTTTTCTGAAGGAAGGATAATACTCCTGATTCATATCAGAGTCAGGCATGTAATCTTTCGAATAACGTTTGACGTTTTGTACTTGGATGTTCCAGTGGTCGGAAATTTTGTCCGCAGTCGAAAAGAAAGAATTTTCTTTAATTACAAAAAAAAAAACTACTCCAAAACAACAACAAAATTGTGTCAATTAATTTTCTTATTCTTTGAGCACTCAAATACACAATACAAGTTACAAATCTTCAATATGATGCAAATTCAATTTGTAGACGAAATTTCAAATCGAGAATGAGTGGGTCCCTCAAAGCGAAAAGTTGCAATTTTATTTCTAACAAAAACACTACCTACTATTCATGTTAGGTTTACGAGTATTCACCCTAGAAGATATTCATAGCTTCTACGTGTCTATTTTGACAAAATAAGTACAAATGAAAAACAAGTGAAAAAAGCATTATGTTCGGCCGGGCCGAACTTTTGATACCCTCCACCATAGGAATACGTACAGTTGCGTGAAATGAAAATATGGGGAACATACCACAAAGTGGACCTAGAACCAATCGATTTTTGCAACCCATAATGTAGACCAAATACAAATTTTAGCAATTTCGTTGGGGGTTTTCCTAAAAACTCAAAACCCTAAAATGTTAACCAATATTATGAACGCATGATAGGGTGAAACATTTGTATAAAATCCTCAAAATACTGCAATTTAGAGGACAAAGTTATATGAGGCATACCTAAAGCGGGGCCAATATTGACAACATTGTATAGGAATTAGCTAATATTTGGCGTTTTTATAATACGAAGGGTTATGCCTAATTAAGGGTTATGCCCAATTTCTAAGCTAATATTAATACTCTTCACCACACTGTGGTACAGGGTGCTACGTCTTTGTGCATATGTTTGATATAGGCAAAAGGAAACGAGATAGACACATGTTTCCTCTTGAGAGTATCCATATAATCACTATCTGAATCGATTTTTGCATGTCCGTCCGTCTGTCTACATGGGCAAATCTTTCAGTTTGCATGAAATTTGGCATAGTAAGTTTGGAATGATGTGTTATAAGTTTCGTGGAAATCGTTCAGATTTAGATATAGCTCCCAATTTTCGTCATTTATTGTAAATGGTGTACCAAAGTCCCTATATATCTTTCGATTTGCACGAAATTAAGCATAGCGTATTGGAAGAATGATAAATCGAGTAAATCATCTTAAAATTCCATACTATGTAGGGTATAAACGGACAATTTCGAAAAAACCCCCATACTATAGTGGAATACAATATGGATCAGTTAACTATTTTAATATAAACCATAGATATACTGACAAGTACTTGAAATGAAAATATAGGGAAAATGCCAAAAAGTGGACCTGTACCGACATTTCATACCGACCATTTGGTAATCATAATACAAATTTCAGAAATTTTTTATGTATAATTATAACCTCAGCCTCATGGCTAATGAGGGTGTATACACTTTGACACGGTGAAAATGTGCATAATCGAAATATTGGTTCTAGACCCCATGTTTCTTTGGACCAAATCCGTTTCAGAAAATGTTCATTTCATCCAAATTTCGCCCATCTTATTATTTCTTCCAAACGTTGTTCAAGTTCAAAGATGGGGAATATCGGTCCACTCATTCTGGTACCTCCCACACAGGGACTAGGCCTAAATGCGGGTTATAGTTCATTAACGAACCTTACGTTCTAAGGAGGTTTGGACCTATATTCATAATTTTTTGTGGGGAGATTTGGTACCCATTAATAACTCAAAATACTAAATTGCAGCTAATTCGGCGGAAAAATACGACCAAACCCCCAAAATACTGAAAATTAGGAGGTACCGTTATATGGGGGCTACCAGAAAAAGTGGACCTATATTTATAATTTTTTGTGGAGACATTTAGTACCTAATATGAAACCAATGTAGCAAATTTCAGCGAATTCGGTTGAAAAACGCGCTCAATAACCTCAAAATACCAAAAAATGGGAGCTTTGCCTAAACGTGGACGGACATGGCTATAATTTGTTTGTATGTTAAATGAAAAAATTTGTTTGTTTGTTTGTGTGTATGTTCCCGATAGACGCAAAAACCGCTGAACAGATGATAATGATATTTACAAAGAATGTCATGCCATGCCCTGAAAGTAACATAGGCTAGATAAACTTCAAAAATTCCGCGTGGTTGCAGAGTTATAGCATTAATAGTAAACATACCTCAAAATTCCGGAACATGTAATATGCGTATATCTTAAGAACGGCTAGAGATACAGTCTTCAAAATTTGTCTGAATAACGTTGGTGTACATAGATATCATCCATACAAAATTCAGCGCGGTATATTAGGGGGAAATGCAATCCCCATTGCATTTAAATGATCTACATATAGAGAATAAAAAAAGTTTTGTTTGAAAAGTCAAAAACCGCTGAACCTGATGCTACTCAATATAAAGAATGCTGGCTAGATAAAATCCTAAAATTCCGCGTGGATGTCAAGTTATTCCATCAAAAGTATTTTCAACTATGAAATAACATAGACATTTTATGCTTATATCTTAAGAAGGGTTACAGATTCCAACTTCAAAAATTGCCTGAGTAAATTTGTTACAAATACGCATTATCCCTATAAAAATTGGCGTGAAACAATGGGGAGAACTAACTCCTAATTGAATTTAATTTGTCTATATATAGAAAAAAAAAGATACGCTTTCGATTGCAGACACGAAAACCTCTGAATTGACTTCGCAGAAATTTTTGCAGTCAGTCATGCCATCCCATGGAAGTAAGATAGGCAAAATAAACTTCCAAAATTCTGCAATGACGAGGAGGTAAAACATAAACCGTAATCATACCTCTGAACTAATATTAATTTTCTATGAACATATTAAAATATCTTAAATAAATCTGTTCATAAAAGTATGTATGATATTCAGATAAGTACAATTTTAAATTAGCAGGAAGTAAAAATTGGTCCAAATCAGAAATTTTCGACTCATAATGTTTTGACCTATTATTTTATTATCAGTAATGATAAAAAACACCAGTTCAGTAATTCCGCGAACGTCTGCTGTTACCTCACCATGATCTTAACATATTTTAATAAAATGTATGTTAAATGAAAATTATTGACATTACAATTTTTACATTTTGTCATTTTGGAAAAAAAATAGTTAAGGAACTTTTTTGTTTGTATTGAATTTCAATAATTCTACAACCATTGGGGAAAATAAATATAAATTCAATAAAAGTATGTATCAGCAATAATTGGGAGATATCCAGCAGCGAAGTGCTGATGGTGGATTAAAAGTTACAAAAATCTAAAATCTGTGGTGAGTTATCATCATAGCTGAACTGAAAACAAAATGTGTCCATTACGTATTAAGTTTAGTTGATCAAACTGATATGACAAAAACTATTATTTCGAAGACGTGTATAGGAAACGACTAACTCAATTGCCACAAATTCTATCAACGGACTTGATCTTGGTTTTCTTAAAAATACAAAGGGATGTATAGTTAAGACCAAGACTAAATCTAGGTTCGGTAAAAATATTATAATGTGATAATGCATTCTTTTGAAAACCTTAACAGGAATTATACAGCAGGGATCTAAGCGATATCAATCAGAGCGAGGAAGGGATCCCAGCCATATAATGGGGAATCAGTTGAGAATACAGACATAAAGGTTGGGGCTAATGGGAATGAATGATTGTGTTGGTCTTTGAACGATTAATGAAAAACATGTAAATATTGGAGAAAATATATTGAGAGTCAATCCAAATTTGTTTTTAATATCACCACTGTTAATCAATGATTATTTAAAAATGTATTTGTAATCTATTGAATCGAATAACTTATACATTAACCAGCTGCTACGATATAATTACTGCTATTACACTACGCAATATCTATAGCCGAACAGTAATCTTCGAATTTTGCTACTATAAAACCTATATCATAGCTTTTAACTGCATACAAATAGTTTTCTACGTGAACTTTCCCATGTTAATCACTTTAGTAGGGCAGCGAAGCGCCACGGGTCCAGCTAGTTTTAAATATATTTCAATTCAAGCAATTGTTCTTTATTTATTGAAAATTTAAAATTTATTGCTAAATTTGCACATCCAATCATATACTCTAGAAATGCTATTAATATACATTATTTAATTGCTTTAAAACAGGAGCCTGCAGTACCCGCCGCCAATCACAGGAAACACAAAAACGACGACGACCCAAAAAATGTATAAACTATCATCCGGAAGAAATCGAAATACAACAGTGTGGTCGTGGTGCACATCTTCTGCAGAAGCCCGTCTCCCTTGTTATCGCCCACATTGTCATGATTCTTGTCAGTGTACTGTTAACAAATGCGTGATACTAAGGTGGCAGCACGCATAAGCGACAATTGCACTACATCTAAAATCGAATCCTTATAGACATTACTACCACATCACATGGAAAACAAACAACAGCAACAACAACTTTGTATACTTTTTCGGTTTTCACAAGACAACGCATAACATTCATAAGTACGTACACTGAAAGAAACAACAAAAAATAAGCATACCCATAGAGACAAGGATAATTAAGTTCGGATGTAAGTTTTTGTTTTTTGCTGTAGTTATACGACACCAAATTTATGGCCCTGGGGGGAATAAAACTAAAACAATGTCTAAGGAAACAAACAAAACAATAAATTTCTTAGTTTATGTTTTACGATTTAGTAAATTGAATTGAATTCATTGAAAATTTTTCAAAAAAAATGGAATACAAATTCCTAGTTGAAATAAAATGGGCAACAATACGCCCAAATAGACACGAAACATGAAACCTAAGAGAATTTATTAATGATGAGCATGAAGAAATGAAGATTTGTAAATTAATTTTTGTTAGAACAATTGAAATTAATTATAATTGAAAATGAAATGAAAAATATGAAAATATTAAGGAGAAAAACAAAAACCTGCAAAAATTATTATTATTATGTAATTGTACCTACAGAAAAAAAAAAGAAACACAACAACAAGAAAACATAAGTAATTAAAATATTTATAAATTAAAAGAGAAATTAGTTTAATGTGTAATAAGAATTAGTAAAATTTTATTTTTCGTTTAGATAAAAATATGTTAGTTTTCCATTTGTTTTGGGGATTTGACTTAAACCATTCAAAATTGAAGACAACTGCATTCACAATATTTGAATTCATCAATGAATGCCCAGAAAAGTCTCCACATTTTGGTGCTCTTTGTATTTTATTGTTTAGAAGGTTGACTGTTGAGTTAAACCAAAAATCTGGATTATTCGATTATATATTATTTGTTGGATTCTTATCTTCAACGGAAGTGGTTAATTTTGTACTGTCACACAACCTGCATGAATATTCTATTAATCGGAATTTATTTTCGATTTTCACTCTACACATATTATAAGTTCTTCAATTTTTTTTCCAGAGGAACTTTGTAAATATAATTTTTGAATTATTTAAATGAAATTGAAGCCGATATTTCACAAATATTCATAATGATTCAAACAAATACATTTGTATATTATAATACAGATATAAAATGCCATGTTTTTAGTTTGTATACTTTTTTGTAAAAAATCAGTGTCTACTTCTGCACTCCAAATCTACGACTTTCGGCTTCTATTATAATATTTATTGTTCAGAGCCACTTATATTATTCCATTTTTTACTCAGAGTATTTTCATTGTATCTCTACAATCGGGTTTTATTTTATTTTTTATTCTCTTCAGTCATATCCCGTTTTTTTTCTTTTTCATTATTGGGCACATATATATCTCTTGATTGGTATTATTCTGGAAACTGGATTGCAGCATTTCATTCAAAATATCGTTAAATATATCTGATTTGATTGATCACGATTTCGATTTATTCACATTCCTAGTAATTTGTAGAGATATCTGCAATATCACTGACTCAACATATGTTGTGTCATACAGTCGAAATATTCTCATGGGCTAAAAATTTCAGTCAGCGTTGTTGTTTCAATTGTGACTTTCCTTTCAATAAATTAATTTGTTCTTTCATAGTTTCCAATCAATGACATTTTCCATCAGCATTACTTTTTTGCAACTATTTTCCTAAATTCACCAATGATCATCCAGTGATTCTCAAACTTTAAACGCGTTTTTTTTCGAAACAGTATTTTTACGAATGGCGGGCACGACATCCCAAAAATTAATAATCCAATTTGTTTCAAACTTATACACCTTATTCTGTATATACATAGCTATCACATGAACTAGTTCAAATGCAATTGGTCAAGATCATCCTTATTTTTAACATGGTTTGTGGTCGAAAATAGGAATTTTAGCGTTCAACCTAAAGATGAAATTATGAAAAAAATATTATAGTTAACAGTATAGTCGGACGGGGTTCTGCGGTTATATATTCTGAGCCTGGGCAATATTTCCCGATATTTGCACCCACTTAACCGATTATAAGTCCGGCCATAACCGTAACTTTATGTAAGATAGGCACCTTTAAATATTTACGTATAAATACCACATCCGAGTACTATCAACTTCTCGGGTCTATGACCTTCAGGAGTAAAAATTTACCACATAGAATGACATTTTTGTCATTTTTAACCCAAAAGTTGAGGTATATTTGAACCGCTAAATATTCACCGATCTTCATCAAAACAGCCTTGCTTATTCAATTGTGAGTTACATTTCTCTGCGTAAAATTTCGTGAAATTCGGGTCATAATTATGACCTCAGAAAAAATAGACAAAAATGAAGTTTTTGGTCCATTTCATTCGCTAAATATTAACAGATTATTACCAAAAACAATAGGGGTCTTCTTTGGTCCCCTACATGCATAACGATTGGACCATAACTGTGGCCTGTACCATGTTTACACATTATAAAGGAAAGACTGACGATCACATATGTCTAGATCGACTAGCTGAGAGATCTGACGGTTCATATACTTGAAGGTCGGTCGAGGACCAATATTTCGCGGCGTTACAAAATCTTGGCGATGCTCAAAGCTATAATACCCAGACAACATAGTTGTGTGGGGTATAAAAATATAAGAGTCGTTCTCCCAAAAAACACTTGATTTATTGGGATCATTTGGAATTTGGCCATCACTTGATAGAAAATAATTACTCTCTCAGTTTGAATCAATCCGTCATATTTGTAGTCTTTTTCCTATTTATATATGAACTATTTTATGTTCAATATGAACTATTTTACTTTCACCAATAGATCTTCGAGACGGTTACAGACCTGGATCACTTTTTCGGAATTGCAGCCTCAATCGTCAACAAATTTATCTCTGCAAACTGGTAAGCAGTAGTCGTCTTCTTCCCGACTTACTGTAAAATTTTGGAAATGTTCGTCTATATCATTGTGATCCGATTCATAGTTGAAGGACTTGGCGTATGGTTGGAGTGAAAGACCATCAAAGAATAAATAATTTCGGAGGTAGCTATCCAAAGCACCATTTTTCAAAACAAAAAACTCAAAAACATAAAACTCAGAAAAAATTATGAAATATTTATTTGAATCGATGGTACGGTTCATATAATTTAATGTTGACTGCGCCTCAAATGGTTAGCCAAATTTTGGCGTACCCTCAAAAGTGAATCTTCGGCCAATTTTCCAAGAGTCTATGTACATACATAGCTATCACAAGAACTAAAATAAATGTAATTGGTCAAGGTCTTGCTTATCTTGTTGGCTTAAGATTCGGATTGTCCTGATTCGGATTGTCCTTTATTATAGCCTTGGGTGGAAACAAGCTTTAGAATGTGGACGAAAGAATAATAGAAGCGTCTTGTAGCTCAAGCGGTAAGACCTGTTTACGAGTCATGCGTTGTATTTGTGGATATATTCCAGTGCGGATTAGCAAAAATTGTGGGATTTATAAAACGACAGTATGACATAATTTCGAGGAGTTATAGAGGAGGTTTCAATCTTAGGAATGGTTTATGTCAAATCTTTTACAAACTGAAATTGATATTTCTCTTTCTTTGTGTAGACAATAATTTCTAGAGAAGATTTTTTAGTTACTTAAGTTTTTGTAAGGATGTAAATCATCAAAAAATAGTAAATAGAAATAAAAAACCAAAACTCTGAAAGTAAGACAAAAGTTAACCAAAACAAGAATTGTTGGTATAAAACAAAAATGTTATGTTTAACTAAACCAATGAACCCAGTTAATGAATGAATAGATCCTCCACCCAGAGAAAACAAATTCACAAATGCAACATGAAGATACATGCATACATACATACATTTTGTATTTATGTCTAAGGGGTAGTTATGGTGATTTATGCAAGTTATTATTATTGGCGATGTTATGAACAACAAATTCATTGGAAACACACAATTTTATGAACATTGGAAAATGACTATATAGAATATCACTTTTAAATAGGGTTACCAATGGCAGACATAGAAAACGAATACTCGGTATTCAATACTCGTATATTAAAAAAAAACTTAACTAAAAACAAATTGTTTGTTTTTTGTTTAAATAGTGTTGATCTCTTGAAATTATAAAAACAAAAGCAAAAAAAAAAATAAATATAATACAGAAAAAATACAGAAATTCCTACCGATTATTTCAATGATAAAAAAACAAGTAATACTATAAATAATAGATTTAAATATTTATAATTTTATTTTTTATTTATTTTTTAAATACTATTAATAATTATTAAAATTAACGTATATAATACCTATAAATGTAGTCAAAACTAAAAATGAATATCAAAACAAAATTTATGATCAACCAATTAACCGTTAATGAAAAGCATTTAAGTTTTATTTTATTTTTGTGGTTTTCTTTTTTGAAGAAACTATTAGAATTAATTAAAAAAATATATAGTTAAATTATAACCATTAATTTTGCACTGACTTTTAAATACGCACAATTATTATCCAAACAAAAGTATATAAAAAGAGAAAATATATAAATATTTTTTATTTTGATATAATGCTGCTACATAGGCAATGCAAATATTATATTTATATTTTTTTTCTCGAAAATAACAAAGAACGAATATCAAATATATACATTTATATTGAATAAAATTTATATCAAAGTAAAGAAGACTTACTAAAATCTAAAATTCTCATATCATCTAAAATATATAAATTCATAATTACTTTTGCTTGTTTTATAGACCTTTTTGTAATGCAAAATAGCCAATGAAGTCCATAATAGTTTTAATTTGTTTAATATTACTATTATTTGTTATTACAATTTACTAATGCACAGTGTAACGTATTAGAATATTTTTATAGCTGGTGTTTTTTTTTTTTAATACAGAATATATTCAAGATTAATTATTGGAATTAGTTTAAACATTCACAGCTTTATTTAAGTGCAATCTTCAAGGTC